CAATACTTTTTCCCTGTGCCATTCCACATGATTACAAATAACTTAATTTCTGGACATTTATGGTTTGATTTCTTTGTATGTATGGATCACTTGGGTTGTTACCAACATCTGGTGAAAATTTCATGTCATTAGCACCTCTAGTAATATATTTACTGAGAAAAATGTTGACGTGTTCAATACTTATTTTACCCGCTGTATATATTAACAAACACCATTCTGTCATCTTTGCAAGATTTGATACAAGGTCAATGGAAAAAACACAGATAAATACAAGTGATATCTAAGAATGATTGTTGTTAGCAAATCTTGTTCTGACTTTAATCATTCTATCTGCAGATGAACAGCATGTCATGAAAACTTAGGTCATTAAAGGACGTCATGAATTACTGGCTTAAACATAAAAGTATTAGTTCCATTACAACACAATAATGGTAGACAATAATGACTGAATGTTTATGAATTACAGACTCTTATTGTAAATAAATGAAGTAAACGTGAGGCACAGAAGGCACACAGGCAGTGCTGCACTTCTGATGCTGCAGCATTTACAAATAGGCATAAGTTAAATCAAGGGGCTTTGTCAGAACTTAGACACTAATTTTAAACAGTTAATGTTAAGAAACTAGTCGCTGTGCATCAACAAAATGTTTCAGTCACAGAGGACGTTGATATGCTTTTGACCTTGCGTGTCGTTACGTCTTATCTGCTGTAGGAATCATCACAGCTGTTCTGAATTCGTCTGCTGCTCCAACACTTCTCAGGGAGAATGAAATGCCCCTTGCATAATTCACATGTATTTCATGGCCTCGTGTTTGCATTTACATGTGACTAAAATAGAGTACGTTCGACAGTTTCCAGTTGACTGAGGTTTTTTGGATGGTATTTTAGGTGTGTTTGAGGAGAACATGCCAGTGGAACTACCACTATGATGCCATGTCCACTGGAAGGGTGGAGCCACAGCCCAGAAAAGATGAGATGGGATTCCCTTAAGAACAAAGTCAGTGTTTTGTTCACCGTGATCCAATGCACCCAGATTTCTGACATTATGTTGAATATCAAGAAGATATTGTACACTAGCAGAGATTTCATGTTGATTATAACAAAACGTGAACAAAAAGTGAAACAACTGAGCAGCCACACACACACTGGCACCATTAAATTGTTTATTTTTTAATGGTGCCAGTGTGTGTGGCTGCTCAGAAATGTAAAGTAGGGTGTTTGTTCTGTGAGCTGCTCAGAAACCAGCGTGGCTGTGGTCATGCTGGAGCTAACATAAGCTCTGAGGAGCCGGCGTTGGCTGTGAGACCACTAATCTCTCCTGGGCAGTGGCTGGCATGCTGGGTGCTGCTGAACGGAGGGCCAACATCCTGAAATAAGATGTCCTCCTCTTCCTTCATCTGAAAAACCTTCTCTGATATTGTCACGGGACTGTCAGTGTGTCTGTGTTTGACAACGGAGAGCTGTGGGGGAAGTGGCTTACAGGAGATCTCTCTGGTGGTCTCTCTGTCTGTCAAACGAATGTGTCGAGAACATTTGTCCACTCTTATCAAACCAAATTTATCTCTTTCTCTACAAAACTGACTGAGCTGTAGCCATTTTTGTGTCGGCAAAGTTTGATTTATTATGGTGGCCATCTTAAAAAGGGCTGACTTCAAAGGTGAATGAATGGTAGATTTTGGTCCAATCACTACTTCCTGAGAATTTCTTTCAAATCTGCCCAGTGACTCATGATATATTTCACTAACAGACAGACAAGGCTGATGTCATTAATAA